TGGCTGAGTCCGGGAGCCGTCGCGGCCCACCAGCGAGTGCCTGGGCAAGTCACAATGCTCCCCGGCAGCGTTCTGTGCCATGCCGCCCATTAACCCTTCGTCTGCCACGGGAAACACGGTGCCGTACCCGGCACTCGCCAGCGGGTCTACGAGTGACAAGTCACAAAGCCATTTCGGGATCTCGCCTTCGCGTGCAACTCACAAAGGGCTGAGCCAAGACCTGACCTGGAGGCCGCTGCATCCCCCCGGCCGCTCGTCCCCTTTTTCTCTGCCCGTTAAGAGAGAAGGGAGCGAATCGGCCCTGGGTCGCCTGTCCCTCGCCAGCACCCACCTTGTGTGCCTGCTCCCAGAGCCCGGCCTGCGTGTACATGTCAATGGCGTCCTTGGACCGCTCTTCTCCCCTTTCAAGAACAGCCCCTCTGCAATCTGTGGGCGAGAGAGAGCTGTGAGGGGGCCGGGCCACGTGGGGCTGCGAGCGGGGGGACCTGGCGCCTCACCTGGTACTCCTGCAGGGCTGCGTAGTGCTGGGCGATCCTGGGGTAGAACTTAGCTGCTGTCCTTTGGTCTTGGGAATCCAGGATGTAAATGGCCTTCTTCCACTGCCGGGCCCCGAGCGCTGCCTCAATGGCCTTGACGGAGCACCTGGGGCAGAGGGCAGTGCCTCAGCAGCCCGCCCTGGGGACACGCGGACGAGGCCCTGCAGAGCGCGCCGCCTCAGAGAGCACAGCTAGCAGGGGGGAGATGAGCAGAGAAACCCCTCCCGCCCACAAACGCTCAGCACCAAATAACCGTGTCAGGCTCAAAGGCGCCACAGGACGGCTCCTTGTTCTTGCTGAGACAGACTCACACGGCTCCCCAGCGCAGACACCGCTCGCTGCAGCACAAGAGGGCACAAAGCGCCCCAGGCAGGGACTGCCGAGGGCTCTGGGCACCGGTCAGCCGGGGGGAGGGAAGGGAGCCGGGATTCCCAAGGGCTCTGGGCACCGGCCGAGCCGGGGGGAGGGAAGGGAGGCGGGGTACACAAGGGCGCTGGGCAACG